ACTTCGGCTTTGCTTAACAATGCAACATAGAGAGAGACGGCGATTTTGGTTAGCCAAACGACAAAGCTGGATACAGTGGCACAATGTCGACTTTTTAAACGAGTTCCAGTTCTACATGCAGAATTCTGAATGGTTGTATACGTGTCTTGAGTGTTCGAGGAAACCGCACGTCGCCTACTTGCATTCAGTACCAGCATAGGGGCCATGCACATGCTGTGATGGTTTGCGCAGCGATTGGGTATACGACATGCACATCTCTAGTTCAGTTCGACGGTAATTTGAACGCAGATGGGTACATTTCTGACATCATATGTGCAGTATTTGTGCCCTATCTTCGAGGCCCACAAACGGCATGTTCCAACAATATAATGCAAGACCATATGCTGCAGGTCGTGTTCTGACCTTCCTCGCTACACAGGGTATTCGATTGTTGCCCCGGCCTGCACGGTCTCCAGATCTGTCACTCATTTAAAACATTAGGTCATGAGTTGCTGAAAGACTGGCCCGCCACCCCTCTACAGCTAATACGGTTAACGAATTGTGGTATAGACTTGAAGCAGCATAGAATGAGTTACCGATTTCTGCCATCCAAGCCCACTTTGACTCCATGCCTAATGGGGTAAAAACCGTTTTGCCAGGTGTGGCAGCTGTTTCTACAAATTTCGCACCCCTGTAAACCTCCAGAATGCTTACAAATTTAATCATTCTGTCTTCATGCCATACTGTTTATGTGCAATAAATATCATTTATGTATTTGGTTTCCTTCATACTGTTGCAATTTTAATGGCAAGCAGTGTACTATGTAGTAAAGCCTCTCCAAGTTATTACGTCGCAGAGAATCATCGCGAAAACATTACATCTGTTCCCAAATCATCCCATTACACAGATACACAGAGAGAGATTGATACATACACCCTCATATATATATATATAGAGAGAGAGAGAGAGAGAGATTACAAGCAGCTGTGTAATAATACCACTGATTTAGGAAAAAGTTATTATTAGTTCTTAAAGAACACATTTACATTTCAAGGTAGCTAAATCTTCGTTCTTCGAGAACAACTTTAACTTATTGAGCTCAAAAGAAAAACTTCTAAAAATATACAAAAGGTAATAATTATTTACAAATGTCTGATTTTCGCTTTTTATATCACGTGATTTTAATACAGCAAATTTAAATTTTCCTTCTCTAAAATTAATCTTTTTCATAATAATCAAAGTGATAGTCAAATGACATAAGTACGATTCTGTTTTACTCTTTTTTAGCAAGAAAAGAGCTATTACATTATATTCTGATAAAAAAATAATGTTGTTTTGCTTCGTGATAAGATTATAAATAAAATTTGGAGAACATGATATAAATAGTCAAGAATACATATTGTCCAAATAAATGGCTCCTATGCTCCTCTTGAAAGTCTGCTAGATTTCAGAGTTTGCCCTTTCAGGCTTTTAGTAAATGAAAATATATTCACTTTGTACTTGAATGCCGAGATTCTTGGAAAACCTTTCTTCATTTACATCCTCGGTCTAGTCATCTTAAGATGCCATATTCTTGAACAGAATGACTAAGGCATTATAACGTCATTTTCAATCCAAGAATACTTTTGCAATAAAAGGCTGCTGTAATTTAAGAGCATCTTGCCGTTTTATCTGGGAGTGAAGTCCAGTAAAATGCAGGGGAAATTGCTAGCTATTACCTACGTCGTTGCAACGTGCTTTCACCCTTCCAGTAAGTCCTTCCTAGGAACGCTGGGCTTATTATTCTCACTGCGAAGTCCAAAATTCCAGACCAACTGCGGTTATTGTCTGCAGTTATTTGGAGTGAAGAAAAGAGTATTTTTAGAGAAAGAATTTCAAATGGACGTTAGAAAAGGAATTGGAAGAGAGCGGACAAAAATAGAGAAAGAGGCTTTATTTCCAATTCAATTCCATTGTATTAGATGTAATTTCTAGCAGATTTAAAAAAAAAAAAAAAAAAAAAAAACACTCATAATGAACCCCCCTTATGATTGCAATATAATGTTAAAACTTTTGATGTAATTAAGTTTTTATTATGTAATTGGTTAATTGCATTAAAAGTCATCAGCTTTAGTAGTAGCAGTAACGGAGGACGTGGGCATCATCCCTCTACCATTACGGTTAATCGGTTCTGGCCACGTTTGCCCTTATCTAGTATTTATTTAATAATTCAAACGTTTTTACATTGTCATATAGTGTGGCTGATTTACAAATAAATTCTATAGAAAGCATACTTTTAACACATGGGACTTTTTACATTGCCATAAGACGGCTATTTTTAACATATTCTTTACAGGATCCAAATTTTTTCATCAGTTTCAAATTATACATTAATATCAAATTTCTATCTATGTTTAATATAAACTTGAATATAGAATTTTCAACATGTAAAAGAGGTACTAATAATCATAATGGATGAATACATGATAAATGAAACAATAATAGATAGTAAATACATAGTAAATGTGTAAATCCTAATACTTTCAATAATACAAATTTTGATCAAAAATTATAAAGGCAATAAAAATAGTAAGTGTGAAATAAATACTTTTCTTAAAGTCTATAAACATATCTATCATGACATACTTCTTAATTTTAAAGAAGTCTTAATTATTCTTGAATATAGTACCAGGGATTAGCTATTATATTAGGTATGTAATTGTTGTTAATGCCTTTCTTAAAAAATTTGGAAAACTATGATTAAAAAAAATCTTAAACTAGTACTTTATAGTCCTTCCTGAAGTGTATGTTTTTAAGCAATTCTTTATAAAATGTCGAAATTTGTCCTTAGTAAGATACCTTTGAAACTTATTCCCTCGTTCTTCTTCAATAAGTTCTTCTCTTTCGTTCTTCTTCTTTTCTTCGTTCTTCTCCTTCCTTAAATCTTCCTTTCATTTAATCTTCGCTTAAATCTTCTTTTCTTATATCTTAATTTCTTTCCTCCATTTTTTATGTATTTTCTTCCTACATCAGCTTTAGTACCTAATTAAAAGATCGAAAATATTATTTATAATATAAAATATTATTTATAATATAAGTATCTTATTGGATCGAATGCCAAACACAAGGTCTAAGATACAGGATGACCCTCTATATTGAAGCATTTTCTTAAGAAAAAAAAGAGAGCTTACATTTAAAACGTTATATTATCCAGAATTAATTTAAACACATAATAGGTCATAAATTTATTTTTCTTCATTTGTTTCTCTTTCTGTAATAATATATTTTTAATAAATTTTGAATTGTAATTTTATCTAACAGGATTTTTATATATAATATAATATATTCACAAATTTTATATATTTATATAATATTAAAAAAATTAAACTTAACGCAGGCAGCTAAATACGAACACAAAAACAGTTATAAAGGCTAATAAGAATTATTTCCGTCATTTTGTTAAATAATGCCGAAGGTTGTTTGAAGATTATATAAAGCATGACTTAAAATATTATTAAATTCTTTAATGTGCATGTGTGCGTACATTCGTATATATAAAATGAAACTCTCATGCTGTACTTCTCAGTGCCAGTGCGTAAGTATAGGAATAACGTCCACAATTTACTAATCAAGCACACGCATGTAGATATGTGCTGTTTTGAACTTCACTTTGGAACTCATCTAGTTCTTTGTTCTTGAACAAGCAGGATTCTGAAACGCTACCAAATTTTTGTTCACGCTGCCATACTTACTATAAAACTTTTCTGTTGTTGTACTTTAAATGGTAGCATAACCAGTCACACTCTGAACACTTGAATAGTAATCGCTGAACTGTTTAACCGAAAGAGAGTATACTCTCTTTCGGAAAGAAGGAAGGAAATGAAATTAATTTTTGATCAACATTTTTTCTAATAGTAAAAGACAAGAAACAATATTCTTAACTTCTTTTACACGCGATAATGTTTCAAGATCTTTTTGTGTTCACAGTTACATTTATTCTAAATTAAATATTGTTAATTCATTAAATGCAATTTAAAAAGAATAAGAAAATTATAAGGAAATAATAATAATAATTTTAGAAAACAAGAGCTTCGATTTGTTTCTAACTTTGACGTTTTTTTAGCCGGAAAGTTTAAAAGCATTAGGAGCAATTTTATATTAAAGATATGCGATAATTCATCATTTTTAAGTTCCAAACATTCTAAGGATTGTTAGAACTTTATTGTCATTTTATTTTACATGTTCAGATATGAAAACATTTCGTTAATGAACTATAAAAAACAAGATAAAGTTTATTTTGCTCAAAAAATTATATTATTATACCTACTGTTATCATAGTATATAATTCTTAAACTTGGGCTTATTTGTTTAAGACTACATGAAATTTAATTTGTAGACTTATAAAAATCAAATAATAGCATAGATTCATCAAACATTATTTCTTTTAGAAAATTATTCCAAACACATAGAAGGATAAAATTTAAAAGGATCATTAATTCTTAATAATAGCTCCTAAACAATAAAAAAATATCTTTTACTTCATTTAAAGATGGAAGATGCATTTGATTTTATCATTTGCTGATATCTTTTTTTTTCTTCTTTTTTCAATATGATTTTCGTTTCTGGTATTATTTCAAAAATGTATTTCTTTTTTATTCTAAAATGATTGAATTAAAAAGAAAACTTTACTTGAATTAAAAGAAACGTTTTAATTATGACTAGTTACTCATAAAGGAATATGAAAGGCTACGTCTAATGCAGCAAATCTGATTTAAATATCATGAATTTTTTTAATCTTAAATTGATTTAAAAATTTTTCTAAGATAATTTCACAATTTAGAAACATATAAAGTGTATAGTATTATTCGAACGTATAATTGCGTTTATTTTTTCTTTCATGTTCATAATTAAATAGATTTTAAACAAATAAAGTAAAGTAAGAATAGTTGAGCTTCATTGTAGTTGTAAATCAGTTTATTACTTTTGAAATGTTTAAAATTCAAACTATAGGAATTCATTTTATATTGTTCCGTCTTTTCTAGATGAAAGGTTTGAAATGCTGGATGATTCTTTAGGCAGGGACAGAAGCTTTCCAAATCAATCACCTGTACAAGAACTACCCAGCACACAAGGTAATATACTTGTTTGTTTGTTATGAAAAATCCTAAACTATTCTTAAAACTTAAAATATATTTAAATAAAAAATAAAAACAGATGATGGAAAAAATTTTTAATGTCGCTACGTAAACATTGTTTGTTTAACACCTAAGAACATTTTAAGTTAAATCTTTAAATTAAGTTTCTTAGTTTAAGACGTAATCAGGAGAAATTTAAAATACATAACTTAACTTCATGTACAACGGTCTTCGACTTTAAGATTCTGTCCATTCTAAGATGCAACCTATGATTTCACTACCACCAATAGTATCAAACACGTAGATTAAATGCAAATAAAAATAAGATAAACAAAATGCTTATGCTAAGATAAATAAAATTTCTAGCAAATATTTTTACTAAGCTAACTAAATTTGCTAATGTCAATAGTATATTAGTAACCTTTTACTAATATTAATCAGTAATTTTAGAAAAAATATGATTTCGAAATAATGAAGAATATTCAGGCAAAATGCAAGACTCTAAAACTACCTTGTTTCTCTCGCTAGTTGTTATTTCTTGATAACTGCTGTTCTGTGATTCGGGTATTTTTATTGCCTGTTTCCTCAGTAATATTTTAGGAATAACAATTTCCTTTTGATTAACAATTAACTCTTCTACTACGGTTTTAACAAAAAAAAATCCTATTAATATTATATAATTGCTTAAAAACACATGCATTATATTGAGGAATGAAAGTTATAGCATTGGCTTTTAAATACGTTTTAGGTGCTATTTTCAGTTCCGTTATATTCAAATTTTGCGCAGGTGACTTTGACTGGAAGTGCTATTATCAAATTTAGTTGAAAGTTTTCGTCATTCTATTTATTGAATATTGCCTTATATATATCTCACTTTGCTGAAACTTTAATCATATGATTTCTTTTATCTGATATTACTCGAAGAAATTAGGTTGTACAGAATAAACCAGACATATTGAAATATATAGTACAGTATTCACAATATGTTAGATCATTGAAGTTTATTTTTTCTGCTGTTGTTTAAAATAAATTCCAATTATTTTGATGTGTTTTCAAGATTGAGATAAAAAACTAGTGTTCTGGTCTACATTGTGAATCGAGAAATAAATATTTGTGTTCCAAGATAAATATTTATGAATAAACAGAAAGCTCATTTACCTCTTCTGTCTAATAAAATGTTTGAGTTGCAAATTTTGCTACATTTCATTAATTCAGAATGCCTAATGAATCAGTCCTTTTCCCATAGATACCAAACGCAGTGGTGCCGTATCAGCGTTTCCTTCACATATTCTTATTCCACTTTTCTTGGGGTTACGTTTTCTCGTATGAAGCTCAAGAGTTAGAGGCTGTCTCCAGATATGCTCAATGAATATAGACAGTGATCGGACATGCAAGCATGATCTGAGTAAAGAGGTGAACGACTTGGATTAGATCTTAATATGGACTACGTAAAAAAGGACTACGGATTTTATTGACCACATTGCTCTAAATCTTTCATTGGAGGTATTGCCTATGGAGATCAAACTGTGGATGGTTTTTTAAAAAATTTGTTGTTTCTAATTTTATACACTATAATAAAGATATAAATATTAGTGCATTTGAGATCATTAGGAAATCATATTAAATGAAAGTTGTGTAATGTTTTCAGTTTTGTATCAGATTTTGTAACAGTGAAAATTTTTCTTAAAAATAATGAAACATCTGATAAATAGGAATTATGCACAAATTCTATATAAATGTTTAATTTGAACTGGTGCCATGCCTCTATCATTGAGACAAAGCAGTAAAATACTGCTAGCCAATAGAATTATTTGAAAGAAATCTCTAGAGCAAAAATTAATTCAAATGCCACAAAGTGCTTAATAATTTAAATAGTTAAAAAGGACTCTTTGCAGGACCTGTTTCCGCATTATGTTAACCATTTAATTAACATAAAGCCTATATTTTTCCTTCTTCGAAAACCAATTAAACACAAATACGTTGAAAGTATAACTGAATTTATTACATTTGGATGTATATATATATATGAATATCTGGAAACTAATGCTCATCTAACCCCTCTCCTGCAAAAAAGAAAAAAAAAAAAAAAAAAAAAAGATAGGTTCGGATAATGGAAAACATTTTTTTAAAAATTATAATATTTCTCCAATCAAATGTAGCCAGGAACTGGAAACCTCATGTTCTTCAATTTATATTTATAAATAGCATAATGAATATTGCCGTAATACATTCAAAGGATCTGCAGGTACTAGGTTTCCGAGCTTTCCAGACAAAAATATATGCTTGCATATTATTAGGTAAACTGAAATACTAAATGCATGTTTTCTTCTATAATTCTTTTTGCAAGAATATCAAGTTTGGCTTCCGTAAAATTTTAGGAATTAAAAATACTTCCCTAGCTTTCCCAAAGTAATAATTATTTAACAGCGTTGCTTATTAACGAAGATCATAATATCAAATTAGGTTTGTTTGAAGTGCTTTTTTCTTAAATTTATTCTACAGAACGACATCTCGTTTTAAACTGTGACCACTATATTTTACTAAGAGTGCAATTTTTTCTTCTTCAGTGTGTTATAAAATATAAAATGAGCTACTTTTTAAATTTATTTGAAAGATTAAAAATGAATTCTATAAAAACTAAATTATCTCGGGAATTTTTATTTACGATGAAATTTGTAATGCATTTTTGATTAAAAAAATTCACCAAATTAGCATATGAGTTTCGAAATATTGAAAAATATTATCGTAAACACGAAATCACGAAAGCAAGTACACTGCAAGAAAAAAAAAAAAAAAAAAAAATATGGGACAGTGCTATATTTCCCGTTCTACTGGGGCGATTCACGAAATTCAAATTGCGTTCTTCATGCCTCGAAAGCGCGACTTAGGATATATATTAGATTTTTATATAGCACTATTCTAACATAGGTATTTTGACACAAAATCGGACTTTTTCTGAAATAACATACCAATGTTTTTACATATTTCGATTCTACGACTCAAATTATGCCAGAATACCAAGTTTTGTAAAAATCGTACGAGTAGTTTTTGAAATATTAGCTCTCAAAATTTTAGCTCCTCAATGTTAATTGAATTTGGCAAATATTTATTTATATCTCTTTTTTTATTAAACTTTTTTTGATTTTTTCTCTCACATTTCGAAATTTAGGTTCATTCCAAATAAAATTTACCCATTTTTTTGTGTTTTATTTTTTAAATTTCTATTTTTAAATAATTTTTATAAATTTTTCGAAAAAAATTTTGAATTATAACCTATAAAATTTTTACCATCATCTTAAAGTAGGTATATTTTTAAGCATATCTGCAAAAAATTAGACTTTTTTATTCAAAATTTTCTAAGATATACACAAATTTACATATTTTCGCGTTTTGAAATTTGGCATCTTTTTTTTTGAGCGATAATAACGCCAAATGTGGTCGATGGATTTTTGGATTTTTGTTACACTGTATTGTCACAGCTATTTTTAACCTTAAATTTCAAGTAAAATTTTACGGAGAATTTATTATATGACATTTTTTCCCTCAATGATGCGTAATAAATATTTATTACTATATGAAAAGCTATTTTTTTAAATAAATTGTTTAATATTTTTTTTTAATTTCTTCTATCTATTTTTTTTTTTTTTTTTTTTTTTTTTTTTTTTTTTTTAAAAAATAAGAGTAAATTTTTGTAAGAGTAAATTTTTACCTTCGGCGTTTTATCGTCTGCTACTTTACTTTCGTTTAAATCGAATTGTCTAAAACTGAGAATTTTCGTTAATGTTTGATGTTTATTTGAATTTTATGACATTAACTGCATAATTTATTTCTAAACAAACTGATTGCTTTTGAAGTGGCTGAAAGAGCGGCTGATACTATCATCCATATTTTAAAGCACAGTATAATTTTATAGAAACATAAGATTTAGAATAATCATTTTTATAAAAGTCAAATTATGATATAAACATACAACCCTCTAGAGACTGAATTAATGGAAGTTCAATGGTTATGTAGAAATGATCTGCAGCTACTTAATGGCTGGATAAGTCAGCAGATTCTGTGGACAAGTAAGAATAATTATATAAACGACACCCAACATTCTGGATTCAATTAACAACGAGGATACGATGTTTATTAAATGAATTTAAGAAGTTTTAAAACATAAAAAATCAACTCATTTTTTATCCTAAAATGTATTTTTGTGCGTAGCGTATTTTCATTATTCTAATTTAAAATTCTAATAATTCTTAAAATTCTAATTTAGAATGTAATTGTCAAGAACTGAATTCCTAATCATCAGTAATATAATAAGTAATTATTACGGTTATTAATAAATCCTTCTTATAAAGTAATTGCAAATATTTCAAAAAAACTTTCTGTCTGAATGCAAATATTTTTCTTGCAAATTTTTAATTTTATATTAATCAAGATTGCACACGATATTATTTATTTGCACTTCAATTCTTAACGTCAGTTCTAGTAGAAGTTACAAATCAATTATATTTAATTAGGATTGGATGGATTGGATTGGATTATTTAATTATGGCAAAGCACACGAGGGCTATCTGCCTAAAGGGAGGGATGCCTTCGTGGAGGACTTTCTAAGAAGGAAAACTGGCTCGTATACACGTTACACATCTGGAAAACCACGAAAAACACCCATGCAGCCAGCCCGTTCGCGGGATTCGAACCTCGGACCGAACTACCAGTGATCAGCGTCTTTACCGCTCGGCCGTTTGTGGGCCATTTATGAAATGGAAGGCGATAACTTTATTTAAAATGATTGTCAGAAATACCAAAATGTTTCGAAAAGTTGGATACTTTTTAATATACTTTCAGAATGCTTAAAGAAAAAGAGAAGAAAAATAAATTTTTTCGTAAAATTTAGTATTTGTATTTTTTTTAATTTTTTTTTTTTAAAACTTTTCAATGTTATGATATTTGATTCTTGCGATTTCAAAAAAAAAATATTTGACTAAAATATGAATAACATTTTAAGAAACCAAATGTAGGATAAAATTGTGTAAAGCAATGAGCACAATGATAAAACTGTTTAAAGCAGTGTATGCAAGTCATCCTAAGTTAAAATGTCGGTTATACATCTCTCTTATTTATATATATCTTTTCTGAACGGAACATTGAAAGGCGTGTAAAACTGTGCTTTACTGTATTTTCTCTTTTAATATAGTATGCATTTTCAAACTCATCGTAGTCTGGGTTACAAAGTATTCTTCCGAAAGAAACGCAGTTCAAATAAATAAAATCAAATTCTGGAAAATTGATATTATAAAATATATTAAAATGCTCAGTTCGAAGGAATAAATAGAAAATTTTAAAACAATTATCTGAAGAGACAATGCAACACAAACAATTAAAATAAAAGTATAAAAATTTAAAAATTACCTTAAAATAATAACTATGACGAAAAAATATATATAAAGAAAACTATTTGAAAAAAATAAACGCTGCACCTTTATTTACACAGTTCGAATAGGTAAATAGAAATTTTTAAAACAGTTATTCGAAAAAAAAAAAAAAAAAAAGTGCAACTTAAAAACAATTAAAATGAAATTCGAAAAAGAAAAAATTACTTAAAATATAAGTTATAATTAAAAATATAATAAAGAATATTATTTGGAAAAAAGGAACGATGGTGACTTTTTTTCCTCTCACGGGAAAGGAAACTAGGTTGCCATATATTAAGAAGTTCGCCAAGTGAAGTATTCTTGGCGCAAACTGACAAAAAAGTGCCAACATAAATTTGTGAATTTCTCCGTAAATTTCGCTCCAAATTTTACAAAATTTCATATTTAGGCGTAATTTGAGTCGTAGAATCGAAATATGTAAAAAAATTGGTATGTTATTTCAGAAAAAGTCCGATTTTGTGTCAAAATACCTATGTTTGAATAGTGCTATATATAAATCTAATATATATCCTAAATCGCGCTTTCAAGACATGAAGAACGCAATTTGAATTTTGTCAATCGGCCCAGTAGATCGGAAGATATAGGACTGTCCCTTTTTTTTTTTTTTTTTTTTTTTTTTTTGAGCAGTGTACATAAAGAGCACGACACCAAGTACAGAGGAAAAAAATACTTTGTCTTTTACAAAATAGGTGTAGGTTATAAGTTAAAAGGAAATGAAAATTTAAATACCATCAGTAGCATTGTCTGAACTAATTCATTTTATTCTATTCAGGTTATTTAACACATTTCTAATCTGTTTACGCTAGCTAGAATTTTAATCACTCATTATGAAATGTTAAAACAGGTGTCTTTCAAGAAAAAAGGAAATTTTATTCTATTAAATTTTGATCTCAGACACAAGTTCACATAGTTATTCTTTCATATGATTGGTATATTTGTTTAATTTTGCAACATATCATTTGTCTAAATCATTAACATAAGAGAATTAGAATGCTTCCTAAAAATACCATTAGCTAAGTGAAACTACTCCTAAAAATGTCCATTTGTAATTCTGTGTTAGCCACTTAAGAGTCAGTACCTGTCAAATTTAATCTTTACATATATTTGTATCCTATCCACTCTACCATACAACGCACAAAGAGGGAACTTAGCAAACACTTCCTGGCAATCGATGCATTTTAAGATATTCTCAGTATTCATTACCCCCATTGAAATCAGAGTTGGAATAGTAAAAATACATGAAAACTTTATTGTTCTAAGTATCCGAAAAAGTATTATCTGAAACGTGCTTCTTTTGTGCACAGGTCTTAAAATCAGTCCCCTTACAACTTTAAGCCCCTGACTCATTTATGCCGTATAAATCTTAGCCTGACGCACACTAAATTTTCTTGCAGTTTATCATAGCACACTTATTGTCTGGATTCGCTTCGTAAATAAAATACTAATCTTTGTTAATTGCCGTGTATAAAAAGCGTTTTTAAAGCATTTATTTGTCCAAATTTGATGATGCATCAGGTATTTTGCTTTGTCTTTCTTCACGTCTTTTGCTTCCTCGTTTGCCTCACCAACGGAGTTTTGAGGCAAACGAGGAACGTTGCACCAAGTTTATTCAGCCCTGCATGAACATTTTAATTACGCGAACATGAAATTTAAAAACATCTTGTGTTTAC